GCGTTCGTGCGTGCGTGCGTGCGTGCGTGCGTGCGTGCGTGCAAGTGCGCTCGTGCGTATATATTTATATATATATATATACATATGGAATGTGCGCGAGCGTGCGTGCGTGCGTGCGTGTGTGTATGTGTGACGTGTCTGTATGTGTGTGTGTGCGTGCGTGCGTGTGCGCGCGTGTATGGGATGTGTGTGTGTGCGTGCGTGCGTGCATGCGCGCGTGTGTGTGTGGTGCCTGCGTGCGTGTCTGTGTCTGAGTAATATGCGTGTGTGCGCGCGCGTGCGTATCTGTGTCTGAGTAATATGCGTGTGTGCGCGCGCGAGCGTGAGTGCGTGCATGCGGGCGGGCGTGCGGGTGTGCGCGTGCGCGTCTGTGTGTTCGTGTGCGCGTGTGCGTGTGCGCGCGTGTGTATACATAGCTGCATATTGCACACCAATGACGGAATATTGAACTGCACTTGCAGAATGCTGAATACTTACTAAATAGAGACACTTTTCCCCGCCCTGCCTACAGTTTTCATCAGTAGACCACAGTGCAATCTGATCCACGAGAGCTTGGTTTACTTGACTACAGTTTTTCCCAAACGTCCTGTAATTATAACTTTTGAACATGAATTGAGGTAGGTATATATATACGTGCATAGTTCTGTTTGGCAACTCAGATATGCTTGTTCCTGATATATTTTGACGAAGAACAGTTATGGCAGTCATATGGAAAATTGAGATAATACTGTACTATAATACTGACCATACAAATACGTAAAAACTAAAAACATAATAAACCTATACGACACGCGCGTTCCGATTTTTTATCACCTACCAGTCAACACTACACTTTGCATGAAGTGGATAAGAAAAGCTGACGCAAAAGACGGTGAATATAGTGGCAATTACAAGCAGTGTGGAAGACGACATAATGATACACCAGTCCAACTTCGCTCTGTCCATGAAATGGACCTACATTCACAGTGTCAGTGGTAAACAACCCTGGCTACTGGATTTATAACGGAAAGATACGAAAACATGCATTACTCAGACGCGCACTGACTGCTTCAACTAGATTGGTTCCTTGTCTTTTCGTAAAGCTTGTATTGCAAACATAAAGAGATCTGACCCAATCTACAACTCGGCAATTCCCCGATTACATTAGACTTGCACCTTGTCGCTATACTTTAGTATGACTATTATAGTTAATAAGAAAGAGGACAAGTCTATCTTGACTCGTGAAACCAAAGGTTGATGTACGCAGGGGCGGATTCAGACCGTACTTGCCGTATTGGGAAATACGGTCTAGATTTCAAAGTGCCCTTCGAAATTTTGCGCCAAAAAATACAGAAAACAATTTGATGGAATTTGGCTATATTCTTTATTTGTTTTCTTTTTCTTCTGATTCATTGACAGGACTTGAAGGAAATAAACATTTTACATGGTAACAAAACTAGCTTTGATATCTGAAAAAGAAGTGAAGTGCTTGAATCATTCTGCATTAATGGCTGGTATGCGAACAGCAAGCAAAATGAAGCAGAAATAAATGTCCATATGGTTTTTAGCTATTGCTGCTTGACTAAATGTGTGCTCAAATAGTGGTCATTTTTGTGCCCAGGGACCCTTGAAATATTTAAAAATTTCCTGGGGAGGCCCCCCAGACCCCCCGCCATGTGCTTCCGCGCCTTACGGCGCCCCTGTGGGGTGGTGTGCTCTTTTTGGGGAATGTGCCCAAAAAATCTGGAAAAATACTGTCTAGCTTCAGCCAGAGGCGTATCTAGGAAAAACAGCGCCCGGGGCAATCGCTATAATATTGCGCCCCTTCCAACTTCTGACGCCAATGAAAAAAATAAAGAAAAAAAATGGAATTTTGAGTTTTTGGTTGTTCCTCAGATTAGGATGCCAATACTTCTAAACTACAGCTACTATCCCAGGTCCAGGTAACAGGGGCGTGTACAGGATTTGTACCAAGGGGGGTCTAACCATAACCCAAACTTGTGAGCACGCGAAGGGGTGGTCTGGGGGCCCTCCCCCACAAAATTTTTGAAATTAGACCCCCTTAGATGCGTTTTCTGCGCGAGCAGGGGGGGGGTCCGGACCCCCTGGACCCCCTCTGTACACGCCCCTGGGTAATCAACTTGTCAAATAAAGGATTGAATTATTTCAAGATATCATTTAGTAAGCAGATTGTTTTTTTTCCTTTGCCTTTTTGCGTTTTTTTTACCTTTGCTTTTTTTGCGCCCTCCTGAACATGGCGCCCGGTGCACGTGCCCCCCTTGCTCCCCCTCCCCCCTAGATACGCCACTGGCTTCAGCCCTGGATCCGCTCCTGGTACGCGTGTAGATATGGCTGTAACCCGACCGGGCTCTACGACTGTTTCACGTCACAATAGATATATACAAACACATTATGGGTCTGTATATATATCTATGGTCATACATAGTAAGAAGCGAAAAGGTAACTTGGCGGTATCTATGGCGGAAAAAGCTTTAATTGCCTGTCAACAGATGTCGCAACCGTTTGTCGTAGCAACATCTAGTATAAGTGCATTAAAATTCATTTCCCTGATGAACAATTCCTTTAATATTACTACACAAAAAACAGACGTGTTCTATACGTGGAGTATCGCTATCGGAGATGTGAAACTAAAGTCGTAGTTTACTCGTAAGCACTGGCAGCAAGAACACTGTACGTCATTGCCATTGGCAGTTCTGTACCATCATGCCGAACTGACAGTGGCACTGAATTATTCCGGGTGCGGTGTTGTCACCGAGTGATTTTTTGAAATACACAAATTTAGAAGAAGTGAGGGTTATAAACCAACTATATAATATATGCTTTGCCTTTACTTACCAACTAAAGCATGTCTATGGAGAGGGCTTTGGAATTGCTTTCCGATCATCTTACGGTATGTAGTTGTAGACCGTAGACTCGTCGAGAACATGAGTCGTATGAATATGCAATGTCAATGGTCGCAACAATAATAACAAAAAATGTTTCTCGACACTGCTGCCAGTTACTGAATTAGTTTTGGCCCATGTATAAATAAATATGTGGGCATCACTCCAAACGCATGGCTATAGGCATATATAGCTTCCTCTGGATCATTGGATGAAGTGTGAAGTGTGAACCATGACTAGCTCCAAGAAACTTTCGGTGCAAATCCACTTTAGGCACCTTAGGTATCACGAAGTGATGCACATATTTCTGTGTATCATCAACTGATGCACAGACTTTCCGTATATCAAGGAATGATGCAAAAACCCTAACCCTAACCCACTTCGTGATACCTTTAAGGTTATACTTTATGACTTACGGTTACGGTTAGAGTTTTTGCATCATTCCTTGATATACGGAAAGTCTGTGCATCAGTTGATGATACACAGAAATCTGTGCATCAGTTGATGATACACAGAAATCTGTGCATCACTTCGTGATACAGGGTGATACTCCATTGGGAGTGTTCCCAACTCCACATTAATTTAATGACAACATTATGTCATTAATGGTCATAATAACATATATATACATATATATATTGGTCATATATTAGTTTGTGATTTAATGTCATTTAGGTTAGGATTATCAATCATTAATCATTAATTATTAATAATTAATGATATCAAAGCTGGGAACACTCCTAATGGAGCGTTAGCCGTGATACCTAAGGTGCCTAAAGTGGATTTGTGCCGAAACTTTTTTTGCTAGGGTTAGAAGACCCTAGTAGTAGTATATTGACGTATATGTTGACGTTATATACGTTATATGTCCCCTGTTATATGTCCCCGTTATATATCCCCTGTGTATATTGACGTTATTCACACAGCCTGGTCGGACTAAACCATGACTAGAGCCACCAATGTGAATGTAAAACTATCAGAGTGGCATACATCTGACGGCTGCCGAGCACGGTCTTCGATTACCTAAATGCCCGGCAGTTTTTAATTTTCAGCGTTATCTCAAGTAAACAAGGGTTAGGGTTAGGAACTGCCGGGCATTTAGGCAATTGAAGACCGTGCCCGGCTGCCGGGCATATAGCCACAGCGTAAAACTATAGGCTAGCGACTGTTCACATTATCATTATGTGCTAAGCAAGACATAAGCAAGTATTAGCTATGTGAAAAGAGTGGTACGATGCCATTTTTAATATAATAATTACGTAAAAATTAAATAATGTGGTTTAGTCTATCCAATGCTAGGTTTTTTATTTTAAAAAGAAATCGGCCAAGGGTGGGGATGCAAAAAGAAGTAGATAAGATATTAAGAAGACAGAGAAAAGAAAGTAAATTATATTGAGCAATGACCAGTGCAGGAAGCATAGGGCAGACCATATGTTATCTAGAGGCTACCAGAGATTCCTAGTGCAGGCTTTTCTCTCCCTTCTACTCTGCCACACTGTGATTTTATCTTCCTACACATACCCTACTTCCACCATGGATCACATTTAATCTCTTCCTCGTTCACTATTTTAGCACCATATCATTCTCATAATTTTCCGCTTTTACTCTGTTTATGCTCCCACACAACCACCACATCTTATTTTCTTTTCTTCCTCCTCCCACTCCTCCTCTTCCTCATCTTCCTCTAATTCTCTTCACCCACATCCAACTGCCAGCTAGTACCATAACTGTTTTGTTCACGTGTCCGAGGTTTACTGACAGAATGGCCTGACTTCCAGTTGATAGGCAAGACCTGTCTTCAGAGGTGGTGCGACATTCCCAAGAAAGATCAGCCCACTCAGATTAATATGTTGGGACTTTTGCTTCTCTGGAAGTATTGTTAGCTTTTGAAAGCAAGTGTATCTAGTAATATATATTTAATAGAATAGACATATTTTCCTAGTAATGTTCATTTCTTATTTTAGACGAATCTTCATGAAAGGCATGTGTATTTATTGAAAAAGATAACAGATGAAAACAGCCAAGGTTTTGTATCCTTTTACATAAAATTAGTCTGAAATTTTTAGGGTTAGTTAACTATCTGTCTTAATTGGTACCTGTTTAAAATACTAGTAATGGTGTGCATAGTATAATAAAATTGTGTGTAGCTATCATACTTGTGTGGGTAAAATCAGCTACATTATTGACCGTTTTAGTATATTTACTAAAGCAAACATTAAGACTTAACCAGATTTCCAGCTATTAAAAGAATGCCGTGCATTGGTCAAAGCTATAAGCACATATTTCCCAAGGACAATAGAACATCAAGAGTATGTCCAGTCATTGGTTAACCTGTTACAAGTTGTTAGCTTGTCCTTCCTCAAGCAGAAGTCCTCAGACATTGTAAAATTCGAACAAGATGCAGTAGAAGCAATTTCAACAATTGGTAAAGGCACACAAATACCTATTATATAATTATAATAAATTATATAAATAATTATATAAATTAGTTATGATAATAAAATTACTTATGACCTAACTGTTAATTCACTGCCCACACGTTTTCTTATTTACTCATATCAATCATGGTCTGCATGCCAATTGCAAGTTTTATAAATACAGTAGAACTATGATGAGATTATTTAATGCCTCAAGTGATGAAATTTGAGGTTTGCTAGAGAGGAATTGAATACATAAAGGAATTAATTTGTTACAGCTGCCTTTTTACGGGAAGTTGAGAGTGATGAGTTGCAGGTGCACATATGTCGTGCCCTCATTGCTTTTTACAGTGCCAGACCACAGCATGTGGATGTTGAAGGTGAGCCTAAATATATGGTGTCTTAATTGACCCTGTGTTATAATTTATATCGTATAGAGCAACCTTTCATTACAGCTGCTTTCAAGAGCGGTCACTGATTTGTGGTACGAATGTGTAAAATGTGTATTATAGTTATACACAATGATGTGCAAGATTTCAGTGTTGATATTTCAGCTATTTTGCAGCCAACTAGCAATGAGTTTAACATGAGAGTTGTGGATATGGGAACCGTCACACGCACAGTTTCCAAGGTATACGTGCTGCGAAGAAAATATGGACGATGGATTTATATGGACTGAAAAGTTATCAATATATCAAGTGTAAGATAATAAGATAATAAATGAGTATAATCTGCTTCTGAATATCCTTAGGAAGTAGAGGCTTAATCTTGTTTGATAGCCATTCTTGAGTCGTATTTTTCTCTTCTCTGTTCAAATGCAGTTCTTTTGTGTCTTGGAGGGCAACCTTGACATGGCTATGGAAACCATGGACCTCTTACAACATCTGTCTGCAGTCTCTGGTGAGCTCTGATAACAGGCTGGATGCATAAAACAAAGCAACATAAATGGTTAGGAACTTAAGAACAGAACTTTGTCCTCTAAAAACCCAGAGCCGGTCCAGGACTCCGGTTCGCATATGTGTATATGTTTTTATGTTGCTTCACAGCTAGCAACTGCAGTCAGATGATAGAGGCAGGAGTAGGCGAGGCGGTGTGTAGATGGCTGCTCACTTCGACCGGCTACAGCCTTGTCTTCAGAGCTAGCGAGCTGCTGTGGAATCTGCTGGAGCATTGCAGAGGCAGTTATCTAATACCATGCTTCCACGTGTGTGTGTGCGTGCGTGTGTGTGTGCGTGCGTGCGTGCGTGCGTGTGTGTGTGTGTTTACGTGCGTGTGTGCGTGCCTGTGTGTATGTATATATATACGTGTGCGTGTGCATGTGCATGCATGTATGTGTATACATTCTGTATTCAACATTCTGTTTCATCTGAGGTGGTCAGTTCGCTTGCCATATATGCATGCATACTACTTTGCCAAACTCCTTGCTGTTTTGT